CTTATATATAATGGGTAGTAAGCAAATTTACTTGTCCACTCTAGGGAAGCCCAGTAATTAAGACCTGAGCTCTAGGATTGGAAAGATTTTCTGTGACAATCCCCCCCCCCATTCCTTAACTGCTTTGAAAATTTTGGAAATCCTGGGTTTCTTTGGCTATAAAATGAGGATCATGGTGGTACCTACCTCAGTGTGTATTCATGAATGATAGCACAGTACTTGGCATACAGTAAGCACTCCCTCAATGTTTGGAAAATAACAACATTAATAAAAAATATAGAAGGCTCTAGTTTTCAGATTTGTTGCTTTGCATTTGTTCAGCTTAACACAACTGTGATTCAAGTTGGAAACCAGGCATAAAGATAGTTTTTATATCAAATTGTACCTAGAGTCATTTTAAATATATGGGGGGAAATAGCTCAAGGCAAGAGAAAGGAGAAGGTAAGTGGGCATTTTGTTGTGACTCTGTACGCATCATGCTAGTACCCTTCAACAGTAGAGCATTGACCTTGGTCAGCCTTATGCTCACACTATCCATTTCATCCCCCTCCCGTTACTTGGAGGTGTTGCTATTCATTCAGGCACCTTTCATATCTATATTTCGGTATCTGCCTCCTGGTCACTGGTAGGGCTTTTTCTCTTTGTAAAATTCTCTTTTACAAATGTCAGGTTATGACATAGGATATTCTGTTTTTTCTGTCACCCTAATCTGGCTAGAAAAGTGCCTTGATGGGGCGCCTGGGTGGCTCAGTTGGTTAAGCGACTGCCTTCGGCTCAGGTCATGATCCTGGAGTCCCGGGATCGAGTCCCGCATCGGGCTCCCTGCTCAGCAGGGAGTCTGCTTCTCCCTCTGACCTTTCCCCCCTCTCATGAACTCTCTCTCTCTCTCATTCTTTCTCTCAAATAAATAAATAAAATCTTTAAAAAAAAAAAAAGAAGTGCCTTGATGGTTTTCCAGTCCAGCCATTCCACAAGGTAGAATCGAATGATCACCCAGATCTGTGAGGCTTGCTCGTGAATTTGAAGGATTTTGTAGAATTGGTCCCTCGACTGTGCACTGGGTACATAGACTACCAGTGGCTTTTTAGTTGATCTTAATATAGTTTGTTTCAGTGGTTGAGGAGACTTAACGTGTCTCATGGCACTCTGCATGGTAGAGTGACATCAATTTATACAAGGTTGATCCAGCTCTCCTTCCCTTGCAAGGAAGGTTCTGGTTAGAATAGAGTCACTGAGCCTTAAAGCCATATAGTTTTCTTGAAGCACCACATTTTCTAATCTCAGACATATTTGGAAAATACTGACTTAGGGATATAATGTCTTTAAATACCATTCCTTGTTAAAAGGAACCAGAATTCACCCAAGTTATGGCCAATTTTAGGGCTGGGGCAGGGAAAAATCAAGATGAGTCTAGAACATCTGTATCAGCTAATAAGGAGATGCTAAAAAATATAAAATGATGGGGACATAGCAAAATGACAGAGGAATCCATTTGGACGGTTTCCTGCTGTGCAAAAGGTCTCCTATTGGGACAGTTTGTACATTGAAATAAATAATGGTAATGGATTGAATAAAACAAAATAAATGAGTTCATGTGGATTTACATAAAGGAATGAACGAATAAATAAACTATGCAGAAGGGAAAGCAATTCCTTACACTGGAATCCCTTTCATGCATATAGAAGGGTAGTGCAGTTAGAAAATCATCAATGACTACTGAGACTAGCGGATGGACATCAGATGACAGACAATGTGTTTATGTAATCCTAAGTAGCTCCCTACAAAGTACTTTTTAATTATAAAAGGAAAATTAATGACTTTATAGTGGAGAAACCTGGCAGACATCAACTTAGCCATAAGATCAAGTTAAACACCCCTCATACTGGGAGAAATCCACAGGGTGCACTTCCCGATATGGTGCACCGTGAAGACAATGTCACTCCTGTGGAAACCTGCCCCGAATGCATCACCTGAATCTAATCATGAGAAACCACGAGACAGAGCCTGATTCTCTCTAACAACTGACCTGCACACTTCACACTGTTCAAATAAAGAAAGACTGAGTAACTCTCCCAGATGAGAGTGGGGGCAGGAGGGGTCAGTATAAAGAGGCGTAACAACGAAATGCAGAGTTTGATCCTAAATTGGATTCCTGGACTAAGAACCAGAATAATGATCTGTAATGGACTTTATTTGGGCATTTGCCAAAACTCGAAATGGATTGTGAATGAGATAATAGTATTGTATCAATGTGAAATTTGCTAATTTGAATAATTATACTGTGCTTACATAAGAGACTGTCCTGATTCTTAGAAATTATACACTTAAGTAGTTAGTGGTAAAGGGGCATATTTTCTCCCACTTACTACCCGGTGATTCATAAAAAGAAACTGTGTATCTATGTGCACACACACACACACACACACACACACACACACACACAGAGAGAGAGAGAGGATGAAAATAGGATAAAATGTAAATAATAGGGGATGCTGGTAAAGGCTGTGTGGAAGAGTTCATAGATCTCTCTGTTGCTGGATTTTCCTGATCTTTTCCTTCAGTTGATGTGTATCATGATTCTTCAGGAGGAGGACTGCTACCCTAAGTAAGCATGACTTTGATTCACTTTATTAGGAAGAACACTCTTGGTGATGCTAGAGGGAAGACTCTGGGTATGGCTTTTGAGAGCAGATACAGAAAGCCAATGGGCTACTGACAATATTTAGTAGCCACCCCAACACCTTCCAAAGATGGTTTTGTGAAACAGTTTTCCAGTTTCTGCCCCAATTTGTCCCATCAACAATAACAACAAAGCGATTTAAAGTCCAGTTCACTCAGAAAAACTCCATCCACTTCTTACTGTCATATTTAAGATAGCTTCAGAAGTTAACCTAATTCAGTAGACTACAACTTTAGAGAAAAAGCATGGAAAATTGATATTTCATACTTATGCTACTCTTCGCTTTATGAGACATTTTATTATCCTGCTGGGTGGAGCCATGACTCAAAGACATTTTCTGAAAATGAATTTCCTCACCCGGTCGTAAATGAAAATGCCCTTGAAGAGGTCTTAAAGTATTTTGTATCCCACACTATTCAGGTGATGCATTAAACAATGCCACCCCTGCTCATGGGCTGGAGAATAAGAAAAACTTGTATGAACTTAATTTGAGGGCCTGAGTTTTAAAAGGAAACTGAAGTGTTATTTCCTGAATATGCTTGTGTGGCGTTTCTTTATTGCGTTCTTAGCATTGTACCCAAAGCAATTCACCTAAGTATTAAACTCTTTTTTTCTGCACCTCGTTGAATGGATTTTTCTTAATGTACATGCATGATGTCTAAAGCTGTCCAAACCTAAAGGCAACACATTTGTAAGAGGCTGCTGGAATTGGTGAGAATTCACAGTGTTAGAAAAATTATTCCCTGTAAGAAGGAAAGTCCTTCAAAGGAATCTACCCATCCTTCTTTCATCCACGTGGGTGTCTGACTTTTCCTAGAAAGTATCCTGATTGAGCCACCTGATCCTACCCTTCAGAAAAGAAGTGTCACCTTATTCTTAATGTCTCAAGTAACCTTTGACTTCAGCTAGTTCTGCTGACTAAGCTTTCCTCTCCGGGAAGTTATCATTTGGTGTCATATCTCCAAACTCCCTCTGGGGGTGTGGTTGTTCAGTTTGTTGTGGAGAATAGCATCACGTCATTTGGAAAATAGGGACGACCTAATGAATGATAGAGGAAATCTGATTTTCTGTAAGGAGTAGGGTCATTCCAGAAGATTCAGTGACATCACGGTCTTATTAGAAATTTTAAGGTGTCTACCAGATGTTAACCTTAAAATATGATGGTGATAGTGATGATGATGATGATGATGATGATGATAGTGATTTGCTGAGCATGGATGAAGGGTAGGCCTGATGCTGCTACATGCTGTACACTACAACGACTCATTTACTTTCCATGCCCACCCTCCCAAAGGTAAATACTTTATTCTGTACATGAGGAAGCTGATACTTTGAAATAGGCTTGTTTGTCTGAGGTCTCACAGGCAAGTAAATGAAGAGGCTAGAATAGAAACCCAAATCTGTTATTTTTATTATATATGTATTCTTTCGAGAACACTCCATGGTCCATTTTTGGTCTCTGCATTGTACTAAATATCAAAGACTATTCAAGCATTAAGATCATATAATGACTTTAAGTTGATTTGTCTGTATTCTGCTTTTTGAGTAAGAAACTCTACCCAAATGTAAGAGAAGGTATTTCCGGTTGCAGTGAGAGCCCCTGGATTTTATAGTTTTCCTCTGATGTTCAGTCTTAGCCAAGTTAACATGAACTTTCTAAAAGCACTATTTCTTCATCTGTAACTGAGGGTAGTCATTTCTGCCCTGTCTTCACAGGGGTTGTTAGATGAATTAAGTGAAATAATGTATGGTACAGTTTTGCAAGCTGGAAAATGTGAAGTATTATTATTATTATTATTACCATTAAATTTCGGGTGGATTCATTGAAATACTCCATTTGGGTAATTGACCCCTTCAAATTCCTCCAAAAGAGTGTTTCTTAAAAAGATGTGCCCATTTAAGTTTTTATAATTTAAGCATGTGAACTGAATCTCACAGGCTTAGTTTTGTTTTGTTTTTTGTTTTTTGTTTTTTGTTTTTTACTTCAAGGTGTTTTACTCCATTAAAATTTTGCTCCATAATAGGGAACTTTCACCATGACATGAATATCAGGCAATCAGAAGGTGTCAACATTATTTCTTTTGGGTAGCAGGAAGGCTCTCTGGTTATGTGAGAAGTGTGATTGTGTGGTTTGTAGGGGTAAAATGATACGATGTCTGGGGTTTGCTCTTAAGTACCTCAGCAAGGGAAAAATATGGATAGATGAATACATTTGGCCAAATCTTAGGAAGTGAGGAATCTGGGTCCCTTGTACTATTCTGTCTACTTGTGTGTAGGCTTGAAATTTTCCCTAATACATATTTTAATTGTTCTTTTACAGATGCAGATTTTCTTTTATAATCCAGACGACTTTGACAGCTTTCAAACTGCAATTTCTGAAAACAGAATAATCGGAGCTATGGCCATATTTTTTCAAGTAAGTTAACGGTGGCTCAAGTACTTCAACCAGAGAGTTCTCTGAGTATTTTTTTTTAATTCGCCGAATTGTTCTATGTTTAATGAATGCATCTGTTTTCTAGTTCACACCTGTCTAAATGAAAGATATTTCATATTGTCTAATGTGTGATTTAAAATGTAAATAAGTATGTTTAGAAACATAATGAAAATTTTTGCATGAATTATTCTGATTTTATTGCTACTTGACTGGTGCACAGATTGAAGAACACATTTATCATGTAAGTTACTTCACTGCTGAAGCATTTTGAACAGGTTCCTTCAGCATATTAAAAGGCTGATGCAAGAAAAAAGGAGATTTTCTTTGGAGCAACTTTAAAATTTGACGTTACTTACAAGTAGATTAATAAATAGCATCAGTCACTTCTCTGAAGAGACCCCTTTTCTTTCCCTCCCAGAAATCCCCATGGTAACTAAAGTTTTCACTGAGACCATTTCCAAGTTAGTACATTTATGAACTCTCACCCTTTCTTTCTCTTTTTTATTGTGCTTGTAGTGAGTGTTTCTTCTGGTCTGTGTGTTGGCTCTATAGCTAGAAGCCAAACCTTGTATCCTCCCATGGGATAATACTGTCCAGGCTTTTTAATAAGTCACATCAAATTAAAGTAGTGTCAACCGTCAAGTGTCTTGAAATAGTAACTGAGAGGAGACCCGGTGCTTTTTTGGGTGGAAAGTAACCTGAGTAGTAGGTATGTGACTTGTCTTTCAGTCTTAAAATTTGCCTGAAGACTACATAGCAGTGTTTCTTTCATCAGTGAGGCATTGTTGGACAATGATGTCTTTCTGACAACTCAAAGGAATATTTAAGACAGCAGAACCTTTTCCACCATGGGTCTTTGACCCCTGCCTTTTGGGGCAAGCTTTTTTGTCTTTGAGATGGAGCCATTCTTGTTTGGAGTATGTTAATTTCACTACGCTTTTTAGCATATGACACATGATGGACAATTCTATCCACTGCCTTCTCTCCCTCTTAACTAATCCCCCCTTCCTTTCATGCGTAAAGGTTCAAATGGAAGATTATATATGAAAAATTGAAAAACCCAATATTCTACCCAAACCTCAGAAATGGTAAGAGTGGTAGTCATTAGGATTGGTTTTGGCACTGGTTTTCAAACTGTGGGTTCTGACCTCCTCGTGGGCCATGAAGTAATTTCAGGAAATCCTGCCAGCACTTTTAAAATAACGATGGAATAGAAAAAATGATCAGAAAATATCAGAGTGTATTACTCATAGTAAGGGTAAATATTTTTGCAGAGCTTTTTTTTTTGTAGAACTTTTTTTAGTTGCTTTTATATAGAGAAGCATAGTGGGTATGTATTTCGTCATGTTATAAAACCTATTTCTTACCACGGCTCATGGTCCGATATCTTGTAAGTTTTCTGTTTATGTATTTGGTTGGTCTCCCCTTTGTTCTTCCACACATCTCTTTTCCCTGATTACTTTCATAAATCAGTTGAGCATAGCATTTTAAGAACTCATTCACTAGCGTCAAAACTATTTGCTTGTGAGTTCCATCTCTTCCACTTAATAGCCGCATAATGGTGAAGGAGTCATTTAAACTTCCCAACCTCAGTATTCCTGCCTGTGAAATGGTGATAGCAACTTCTGTCTACACCATCAAGGTTGTAAGATTGTAAGTAGTCATTAAATGAAGCCCCTAACGTGGGTTCTGGCATGCAGTAGACATTCGTTCAATGCCAAATAGTATGTATCCATATCCATACAATTGTTTTCCGATGGGATGGAGACCTGTGGTATATGTGTCGTCTTTGCATCAACAGAAGTCTGTTTCGGGCACTGCCCTGTGGGCACGTTCCTTGAGTTCTGTCTGTACCACTTCTGCATCTAAGCCATGATCAGTTTGCCTTATGCAATGCTGAGGTCACTGGAGCCATTCTTAAACAGTGCCCACCTCCACGGTTAATCCCTTCTTTTCTGTGATCGCCCTCTTGGTGCGCGGCTCTGCTTGTAGCCACACCATCAACCTACCCTGTTCTCCTTCTGCCCTGCCCACCCGTGCCCAGCCCAACCGGGTCCTACTGTATAAGATCACCTTTCTGAGAGGAAAACAAATTTTAAAATGTTCCTCTGAGTCCTGGAAGAACCAGTTCACAATATGTGCTACACAGAAGGTTTCTGTGTTTCAGCTCCTATAAACTCTTGTGAAACGTAGGACCAATTAGAGTCTTAGGCAGGCAAAGCCCGTTGGTGTACGAACCCGCAAAACACCTCAGTGTGAAATGTAGGTTTTAAATTTTCAAAGTATTTCTAGGACATGATGACTAGTTCACACACAAAGATATATTTCATCTGATAAGTCCTTCTAAAAATTTTTGCTTGCTGCCCCGTATACGTAACATAGAAGGTAGGTAACGTAAAATAGAACAGATTTTTTTTTTTTTAGATACCAGCTGTATTGACCTGCTGCTTCTGTTTTCCTTTTAAGTCCACGTATGCATTTATACATCTTTGTTCACACTACGTTGAGCAATGGAGAGGAAAACAGTATTCCTGTTATTTTAATTTGGCAGTCTAGTTACATTCCATACTTTGAGATCTTCGTATTTTGCGCCTTCCTGTGAGAATGTTCAGTTTCTTCCCCCAAGTAGTCAGATAAATCTTCATATATATTTTCAAATTCAAACCTGGTATCTTGCATTTTGGTATTGAAGAAGTATTTATCATCTATTCAGCACTGATGCAGTGCCGGGAAGGGCACTAGTTGCTACATTAAATATAATAAATGCAATCAGCTCCTGCCCACTAGGACCTCACTGTCAGAGTTGCACGGGATAATGGCTAGCATGAGGTGAGTGGAGAAACCCTTACATTTGTAAAGAGGCTGTGTGCTGACTTACAAACCCACATATTAATTATCCAGAGTGACATGATGTGAATGACAAGAGCATGTCTAGGCAAGGCTGAGTTCCATGTAGATGTTGTCGTCTTGCTGTTAACTTACTCCATACCCTAGTTCACACACATCTTTGGATCAGCAGCTCTCCAAAAGATCTAGGAGATCAGTAAGGGGGAAGGTTGATTTTAAAGGATTTTTAAAACTAATTAAAGAACTGGCAAAGGATGGAGATACCTGTTGTTAAACCACTAAAGAGAATAAGTGCTTGTGTAGCTAATTTATATAAGTACAGAAATTAAAATAATTGTTTTCTGTTTGTTAAAGTAGAATCTCTACTGTTCTTTGCTGTTAGCCTCATTTGAATTCCTGTAAAAATGTAAAATACCAAGTGCCATTAAAATATTCTTTAAAAATATTCTATTATTCTGGTAATACTCTACCTAGCTTATCTGTTTAAAGAAAGAAATATGAAAAACTTACATTGACAGGAGAGCTGAAATGACAGGGGAATGATTAGGTAATTTGTGGAAGGATGCTTTGCTTTGAAAACAACACACAAAAGGATTTGATTGGCTCTGGGTTAAGTTTATTGAGTAGAGGATACCAGGTACTCAGAATGAATGACCTTACCTTAAGCAGGCCTGTATGTTTTTAGACCAAGAAATCTTCCATCATCACCATCTGAATTGGTTTTTCTTTCTTCCACTGTTTCTTCACTGTTCTTGTTGAACGCTTCCCTCCATTTCCCGTCAGAATCCACATGGCTTCTCTCGGTGCAAACATCTGCTGGCTTTCCATGAGATGCTCCTACAAAGTTGGTATCCCCAAGCTTTTTGCAGTTGTGATTACTGTGGGTTTACGGGTATGATGGTTGGGTTTTTTCAAGAAGCACATTATTATTGCTGAGTTTATATCATGGGGGGGGCATCTCCTTTGTTTTACTACCTAGTGGTCATTGTTGGAATGCCTAAAACTTTATTTATATTTCCTGATTCCCTTGACCTATGGGATTATAAATGCATGATTTTTTAAGAGCAGCTACATTTAGAAACTTTTCTCATGAGATTTTCTCGCCGGCCTCCTTGGTAGACCTTTCTGGGTAGAGTGTCTTCTTTTTTTTTTTTTTAAGATTTTATTTATTTGACAGAGAGAGACACAGCGAGAGAGGGAACACAAGCAGGGGGAGTGGGAGAGGGAGAAGCAGGCTTCCAGCAGAGCAGGGAGCCCGATGCGGGGCTCGATCCCAGGACCCTGGGATCATGACCTGAGCCGAAGGCAGACGCTTAACGACTGAGCCACCCAGGCGCCCCTGGGTAGAGTCTCTTCTGAATCTTTGCATCAGATGCAAAGATATAACATTTTTATTATGTCTGCATCCGGCGGCCCAGTCAATGGCATATGCCTTGTACTTTTAAGAAATAAATTGCATCCTGATTTATTTATAGATTGTCTTAAAGTGTTGTGTTTTTTGTTTTTTGGTGTTTTTTTGACAACTGATCTTCAACGAGGTTTCTTCATTTAATGTTTCAATTTTGCTCCTGGCAATGTTGAGCCCCCTTGTCCCAATATTTTTTTTTCTATTTCTGTGTAAATTTCTGCCCAGAATATGACTGTGGTCGCTTGGTTTTCTCTAACACCTCCAGTTAGGTGGTTGCCCCCTTTTCATTTCTGCCCTCACTTCAGAGTCAAAAGCAAACTTCAAAACTCAAATGTTTCACAAGTTGCTAACCCATTCTTTATATCATGTCGGTGGTACAGACTGCTTAATTATTTTTCTCCATCTGGAGAGACTTAGTAATTAAATGAAATGGCAGCACCTGGGATTATTTATAGACCTTGAGAAGGCAGGAGGAGTTCTTGATGACTCATCTATCTAGGGCTGGCAAGGAAGGCTTTTTCTCCACTTCCCCGCATTTCGCCCTCCCTCCCGCCCGCCGCGGGTAGATGGGATTCGTCCTTCCTTTAACCCGCTGTTCTCTGAGCATTCCGTCATGCATTAAAGCTGTTCCTTTACTTGCTTGCTTCTGCCTTTGTACTGTGAGATCGTTGAGGACTGGGAGTCTTCACGTGGTCATCGCTGCATCTCTTGCAAGTGACTAACACTG